GTAAAGGTGCTGTCCAACAGACATTTAAGTAGAACCTACTGTATGCGTAATATCAATAGAAAACATTATCCCTGCCTCAAGGAGACTGCAATCAATTCGAATAGACAGGAGAGCATATAAGAAAAATCTCCAACACCTTTACAAAAGGATAGATCTATTGTTCAAGCTACTTTACATATATATACATATACATATGTATTATATGTGTGTGTATATACATATGTATGTGTACATATGTGTGTGTGTTTGTGTGTGTGTGTGTGTGTGTGTGTGTGTGTGTGTGTGTGTGTGTGTGTGTGTGTATAAAATCCTTCCTGAATTTCCTAAATAGAAATTGAGGGCCTTTTTGAAAAGTTTTTGGTATGGTATGGCAGAATGATAGGAAATTTACCTAATTCTATATGTGAACCTGTTGCTAAGGGAGGTAAATTATAGATAAGCTTACATATTGTCATCAAATTAATTCAATTCAAATCCAGGCCCTGTCAGATATTAAAATGTGGTCATGTGCTCTAATATATGAACTTTCACCTTTTATTGCCTGGAATCTAGGTCAGTTCCACACTATGCCACTATAATTCTGATTTTCCTCCTCCTCTTCCTCTTCCCATCAGAACTCAGACTTTGACTTCTATCAACTTATTTTTCTTAGAATAAGGGCACCAGAATAAGGCCGGCTCTAAACTATGCCATTGTGTTTTGACCCTGTCTACCACTCTCTCCCTTTACAAATCTCTATGTGTTATTTTCCCCCTATTGAGGTCAGGAATTCTTTTTCTTACTTGTATTTGTATCTTCAGATATAGCACAGTGCCTGCATATAGTTAGTGTTTTAATTCATTAATTCATCCATCCATCCACTTATTCATATGAAGTATCTGTTTGTCTTAGGCATAAAAGAGAAGGAGTTAAGGATAAAACCAAAATTCAGTTAAGCATCAATTGATATCAGGTAAGCATTCATGGAAAATGTATAGAATTCATCTTTCTACTTCATTTTCCTTAATAATCTGTTTCATATCCATTAGGATGAGAGAATTCTGAACCAAGAGTTTCCCTAGATTTTAGAAAGGCATTTGATAAAGTTTCTTATGCTATTCCCATAGAACAGTGATATGTGGGTTAAATGATAGTACATTGGTTAGATTTTGAACTGTTTGAATGACAGTACTCAAAGAGTGGTCATTAATGTTTCAGTGTCTTCTGTAAGGAGCTCTCAAATGGAGTGCCCCATTGATTATTGTTTGGTCCCTTCCTGTTTCATATTTATATATTTGTCTTGGATAAAGGCATGGATGGTATGCTTAAAAAACTTGAAGATATCCTGAAGTTCAGAGAGATAGGTAGCACAGTCATGAACCCCAGAGATAATTGCCAAGTTACAACATCAGGCTGAAACTAATAAGATAAAATTATCTAATAAGATAAAAGAGATAAATGTAAAATGTTTTATTATGGTTCAAAAAATTAATCTCATGAATATAAGATGGGGAAGTGTGGCTAAAATCACAATTCATTTGAAAAATAATTTGGAATTTTAATAACTTTATACTTTGGTGTGTGGCTAGATAGCAATTTCATGAGTATAAGATGAGGAAGTATGACTAGATTGCAATTTATCTGAAAAACAATTTGGAATTTAATAATTTTTCCTGGAAGCTTAATATGGGTCAGTTGTTTAATATGGCAATCAAGAACTCTGATGTTATCTTGGATTACACTAAGAGAGATAGCATAGTACCTAAGACTAAGGAGGTGATAGTTTCACTGTTATCTGTCCTGGCCAGACCACATGTAGTGAGTGTGCAGTGTTTAATTTTAGGTATAAATTTTATACCTAATAAATTGATTATTGATAGATTTTATACCTAATAAATTGATTGAAAATAGCGGGAGTCCTTTTGCTTGAAAAAGAGAAGATTTAGGGGTTATATAGGAGCTGTCTCTGAATATTTCAAAGGTTGTCATATAGAAGTGAAATTAGATTAGTTCTTCCTGGACCCAGGCAGAAGAACCAGGAGCCATGTGTAGAAGTTACAAAGACATAAATGTAGACTCAGTGCAATGCTCCTAACATTAGAACTATTCCAGTACATAATGGACTGCTTCCAGGGGTTGGTATAATGGTTTTCTCTGTCTTCTGTATCTCATCAATCAAAAGCAGTATGACAACATGTCTGGTATGTTGTAGAGAGGAGTCTTATTCAGATACAGAATGAACTAGTTGGTCTTGAGGCCTCTTCAACCTCTGAAATTCTGCGAGACTCTTTGATTTTTAAATACACAGTTTAGAAGTATTAAGATCATCTATTTTAATAAAGATTTAATATCAGATTTTTAAAGGGGGGAAAATGTTTATCATCTCCATCTCCCATGAATATCTATGACTCGAGTGATGACGTTTCTTATATATTGGTCTGATTTGGGATTCTTTCTCTGCTTAAAAAGCTTTCAACCATTCTGTATTACCCACCAAAGTTCCAACTCCTTAACTTGGTATGCAGTGACCTTTGTGATCTGGTGCAGCTCTACCTATTTTACTTTATTTCATATTACTGGTCACTACAGGCTCTAGATGCCACCCAAACTATACTGTATATCCTGTACTCCTGGAATGCCTTTCCTATCCATCTCAGCCAGTTGAAAACCTTGCCATCCTTTAAATTTCAGCTTATATGCTAACTCCACCATGAAGCCTTACTTGATATTCCTTGTTGGAATTGATATTTTCCTCATTGTATTTTTGAAAGTTTAATAAATATTTTTAAAATCTAATAGAATTTGAATTGAATTGAAAGTAATTCTGACTGAGGCACTACTGCCACCTGGTGACATTATTGTCACATTGCAAGTTCAGGGCTTTTCAAAGGGGAATAAATCTTTTCATGACCTTTGAATATCCAAACTTAAACTTAGCATACAAGCACCATTAAATTCAATTCAACAACCGTATATTAAGCATCTACCTTTTGCAGGAATTTTTGTTAGGAGTTTATGTATAGAAAATAAAATAAAACATAGTACCTGTCCTCAAGAAACTTACAATCTAATAGGAAGTACGATTTTATATATATACATATATATATATTATACACACACACACACACACACTCACACACACACATACACACACAAATAGCTCTCTATAATACCACAAAGACTGAGATAAGTACAAAAGAAAGGTCCAGATGAGACTTCTATAAGAAATTTGAGGACAAATAGATTACTTACAATTGGAGCAATGTGAAGATTTCATGGTGGATATAGGCAACTGTGGTGGGCCTTGAAGAAAAAGAAGCATTTCATCAGGCATAAAGGAAGGGGGAGGTCATTTCAGGTATGGCGAATGGTTTAACCAAAGGGCAAAGTCAGAAAAGAAGACAGTGATTGATGCAATGTGGCTGGAATAGTAACTTTTTGAAGAGGGGCATTTTGGGATATTATGGGAAGTTAGGATGAAGACAGATTATGTATGGTTTTAAATTCTAAAATAAGAAATTTATTCTTACTTGGTAGGTGATAGGGAACCATTGAAGATTTGCAAGAAGGGAATTAACATGAGCAGAATGATGTATTGGGAATATTGTTCAGACATCAGTGTAAAAGATGAATTGAAGAAGGAATAAACCGGAGGCAGAAAAGCCAGTCAGGAAGCTGTTAAAGTATTCTTAGAAAGAGATTATGAGGGTCTGAAATTGTGAGAGTAGAGGAGAAAGGAGGAAACAGATAGAAGAAATATCGCCATGATAGTATTGACATGATTTGACAGCTAATTGGGTGGATGGATAAGTGGTAGTAAATGAATTAAAAGGCAGCATCATATATGCTGTTAATGTTTTGAACATAGAAAAATCACTGTACTAGGAAGGATGATAACCGCTTTCATATCTCTACTTAACTACATACTTGTTGTGTGACCTTTGGCAAATCATTTAGCTTCTCTAGGGTTCAGTTCTATGTAATAATACTGGAAACTATATCTGATTCCTTGTGCTGTTCATAGGAATGGGTTTGGCATATTCTTTTGCACTTAGTACATTCTTCTTTATATTGCACATGCCTATGTACATCCTTTATTAAAGCCCATTAAATTTGCAAATCAAGCACTATTTCTTTTTGAGCACTGTGTCCTTAGCCCCTAGATTTGAGCTTTGCACATAGTTAATACTATCTCTTTGAAGATAGAGGATGGAACCTGATGACTTCTTGAGACCCCTTCTAACCCTAAATTGTACAACACTATATAGAATATTAGCAAGATTACATCTCAGTCTCTGATGACTTTCAGTGAGATTGGTTACTAAATAATTCCCATAGAATTAAATCTATTTTTCTGTTTATTTCCATTGTAAAGATATTGATGAAGTCACACACAAATCCAACATTAAGATGAGTTGAAATATTTTTCAAAAGAAGGCTTTCAGATTGTAATCCGCCCTGTAGCATACTGGGAGATATGTTATTGAAAATACTTTTGAACCAATTTTCACACCCTAGCATTTCCCCATCTATCTCTTACAAACCCCATATACAGGTTCTCTAGGAAGTTCAGAAGCTACAGAATTTAGTTGCAATTGTTCTTTTGTCAGAATATTTAAAATGTCTAATAGAGCTAGGTTACAATATTACATTTCACCAGTAGATGTCATAATCTAATTATACTCTGCATTGAACAGCTCTATGTTCAAGGCATCAGATTGTTAAAAAAAAAAAAAGTAATGCTCAACTTTATCAATTTTTTTAATTCTGAAAATCAATTAAAAAAACAAGTTTTTTGAAATGAAGGATGACACATATGTATTTTAATACAGTAGATAATATTTAGCATATGTCTGTATGCTGGTTGATACTGATGGAGATAACTTTGTTTCATTAGCTATTAGTGTTCTGTAATTTCCTAATTTTACTCATTAGAGATACATTCTATGGTAGGACTAGTAACATAAAACCTGGAGTACTGCTGAGATGATAGCTGATATTTTAGCCTATTCTAATTACAGGAGAGGTCACAAGGGAGAGAAGAATGGCAGATGACCGGAAAGATGAAGCTAAAGCACCTCACTGGACATCAAGCCCACTGGCAGAGGCATCTTCCCACCCACATTCACCTGAGCTTAAGGAACAAGCTGGAGCAGGAGATGGAATAGTCCGGAGTGCCAATGGATTTCCATACAGAGAGGAAGAAGAGGGTGGCTATGGAGATCATGGGCAACAGGGTACCTATTCAAGAACCAAAGAGAATGGAATTAATGGAGAACTCACCTCAGCTGAAAGGGAAACAGCAGGTAACTAGAGGCTCTTCTTTCTCCCACCTTGATTTCTGATTTGAAATCAATTTTTATCTAAAAAGGACTTAGGCAGCACTTTTTTTTTTGCTGTTAATGAGTTTGAAATATAAATATAAATAATTATAAATTATTATTTCAGGGAGTGGAAAATGAAAAAGGAGATAAGTTATGAAGGAAAAGAGAAACTATTTTCATAAGATAAGCTGACTATAACTATATTTTTTATTTCTTCTTTGTTAACTATTTCAACTTCATTTTATATTTAATAGTTGAGTTATTTAAGTGTGACTTCTCGAAAATCTAGTCACTATTCACATCCATCCCCTTTTACTAAGGTCAAAATTGTAGAAACTCAAGAGTTTTTGTATGACTATTTTAGGGGGAAAAAAGTAAATTCCAAATCTATTTGTCTCTCATATTTTTTTGTAATTTTTGTGACATCTTTCCTCTACTCTTAGGTAAGAATCACAATAAAAAAATCCTGATGTAACAATAATTTTTCCATTTTAAAATACTTCCAAAGCCTAATGATGTTGATCATGTTCTTAGATGTTACCTAACATGTCAACAAACAATAGAATGACAGAAGTGTATATTAGTAATTTGTAGTTTCTTATAGAATCACTCAAACTTTAAGAGTAGAAGTAAAATAATCAAATAAATCATGAACCTAAAATTATGGAGTAATAAAAGTTATGTTAAAATGATGTATTTAAAAGCCAAAAGATATTTTTAAATCAATGATAACTTTATTAATTTCCAAGGATTAAATAATACTATGTGAGCTGAAAGTTCCATTCCTTTTCCAAAATTGCTGAGGTGGGAAGAATATGATATGCTACTAAAATTCATACTGGATAATCTACATTAATAATGAGTTCACTGAGTGGCTGAGATCTGTCAATCATGTTGCTTTCTTGCCCATAAGTAGGGGGGAACCATTTCCATCCCTGAGCCCCACTAAAATGCTGCTCCGAAATTTAAAAAAAAATGTAAAGTACAATATCTTGGTACAATTATTTTATATATTTCATTATTCTGTGATTCAAATTCAGGGTGGTATATTTCCAAATTTAAGTCATTTTTTATCTAGCCTGTTGAAACATTGATTCCATAAAGTCTCAAATAACTTTTATTGCTGTTACTATTAATAAAAATATTATTAACAGCTGCTTTAGTGACAATCCACACCTATAACCATAACAGATAAGTCTAGAATAATTACTAGATTGCAGCCCCATCTGAATTTCAAATGAGATCAAATGAAATAATATATGTAAAGTGGTATGCCAACCTTAAAGTGCTGTGTAATTTTGAGCTATTATTCATACTATTATTATTTCAGTGCCCATGTGCCTTTGATAATTAGTACTCAGTTGCTTGTATAGTAACTTGCATAGGTGCTGTTCTAAAAAAAATTAAACAAACCCCAGGCATGCAATAGAAAGAGAATTTGCTTCTCCTGAAAATTATCCTATACCTATAAGATACTATTCTCTGTAGTTATTAGAACAGTCACTAGAATTTATTGAGTGCTTTCTGGGTATGAAGCACTATACTTGGTAATGTGGGGAAAATACAGAGGAAAAGGAAGGTGAAAAACTCTACTCTTCTTCAGTTACACTCCAGATAGAGAGAAAGAACACATACACACACACACACACACACACACATACACACAAAGGAGCCCCTACAGAGCATCTTCCCATTCATTCCACAGTTTTTGAGCATCTACCTGCTTAGTGCTAAGCCATGAACAAGATATATTCCCTGCTCCCAGGGAGCTTATTGTCTACTAGAAGAGATCATAGAATCATAGAGTCCTAATACAGGGCCCTAAAGACCATTGAGTACAAGCCCTTAAATCATATATAAGAAAACTGAGTCTCAGATGAGCAAATTGGCTCATCCAGATCCACCAGATTAGTCAGTTTCTAAAGCAGTATTTAAACCCATGTCTTCCTAACCCCAAGTCTACTGCCCTAATTACTATATCTTGATGCCTCTCCCAGATAAAACATGAACATGAGTAACCATGATAAAAGTCCAGTCTGGGGTAATAATTATATGAATAGCATAATCTGAATATAATAGGAGAGCAGAAGAAGCAAGATGTCTCTTTTTACTGGGGTGATTAGGTATGGCATTACACAATGCATGGCATCTGAACACAGAATGTGAGTAGAATTTCAGTTAAGTGCAGATAGAGGGAAGATATTGAAGACAGAAAAGCATGTGCAAAGTGACAGAGTTGGGGGTGTACAGGTTAGTTTGGAGGAGGAAGACTGGCATCAGAGGAACAATACATCAGGCATGAGGAATAAGAGAACTAATTGAGATGATCAATGTGGGACTAAGAAGGAAAGGATGAATGGGAGAACTGCTACTTGCCAGTTAAGAGAAACTATGCATTTTAAAAACTGAGGGAATGACAACCTGTTGGTAATTGAGTTTAGATGAGAAAAAAAAAATTGGAAAAGACTCCTGAAGGACTTCAAATTGTTTTCAAGGACTTGCGTGAAATAGATGGGAGAATCAAATTACTTCACAAGGTGAGTGAGGCTATGTTCAAGAGATAGAAGTAGGAATTAGCAAATTGTATGCAAGGCTCATTAGAATGAGATCTAGAAAGATCTCTGAAAGAAAGGAATGAAAAGGGAGGAGAAGCAGTAAGAAAGGCCCTGAAGGACCCAGGATGAAGAATTTGAGCAGAATAGTAGAGAGCCACTAGAAATTCTTAAGCTTGGAATATTATTTTAGCTGCAGAGTATAGAATACATTGGAGCAATTTGTACTCAATAGGAAGGAAAACCAGCTAGGAAACTGGTGTAGTCTTCATGAAGTAAGGAAAAATGCATCAAGGTAGTGATGAAGGAAATGGGAAAGAAGGAGTAGCTCAAATAAATGCTGCAAATTACAAACTGGAATAGAGGTGGAAACCTTTTCAATTGATAGATGCTATTTGTTGGAATGCCTTTTTTCTTGAACTTTTCTTCCCAATATGACAGATACCTAGATAGATGGTGCATATGATTTTTGTTCAGTACTGAATCTGTTGATGTGTTAATTGTAGGTAATTCACTAATGGCCTCTTGATTCTGTCTAGCTATGGTGAAACCATGTAACTCAAGTAAATAAATGAAGCAGTCAATTTTTGAGTGATTTTAATATTTGTGACTGTGATGATGTAGTGTTAGTTTTAGCCATTTCATTCTGCTTCCACCTCTGAGAAAAGAATATAGATCAAAATATAATTTAGAGGTATTTCTGGTTAATACCTTTGGCTTCTGGGATTAATAATGAGTTCAGGGAAAGCAAAAATTAATAAAAGATATATAAATACATATATGTATATATGTGTGTGCACATATATACAGTCTATGTATACATACCTGTCCATATCCTTATCACCTTTGCGATGCTGATTTCAAAGTTTTATGTGTACAAATATATTGAAGATACCTGCAAAGAGCATGCTGGATATTAATAGATACATGTATTCACTTTGAAGCATGATATATTTTTTAGATGCATTAAATCAAGAAATTAAAATATTAAATCAAATAAGTATCTTTATACATGAGCCTACAGAACAGGCAATTTGCTAAATATGTATTTCTAATGTCTAGAGTAGGTGATTAACTATAAGCTTATAAATCTCTGGCTCATCACATTTCAGATATATTTTCATTTACTTATTATAAATATACATGTACACCTAGCATCATAAGATCATGGCTGTGTTGTTAGAAGAGATCTTGGATGGGCCTATTTTGATTCTGTGTCCTCAAGGAGCTTACATTCAACTGGAGAAAACATTGATAAGTCAATGCAAAATGCAACATACATTATATATAGATAGGGAGTGACAAAGCATAAGGGAGAGACAGAAAGAGACAGACAGACAGAAGACAGACAGATGGACAGACAGAGAAAGGAGAGAGAGAGACACAGAGAGAGAGAGAGATGGAGGGAGAAGAGAAAAAGTGGGAGAGAAAGAGAGAGATACGTATCTATATTGATATGTAAAAGAGTTCTAGTAAAAGGCTGTACTTGAGCTAAGCCTTGAAAGGTCAGGTTTGTAAGAGGTGGAGGTGAGGAAAGAAGAGTATTTTAAGAGAGGAAAACAAACCGTTTATGCTAGAGTCCAAAAGTGAGATATGGAATCTCGTGTATGACTTGCTAGCAAGTCAGTCAATTTGGCTAGGATGTAGAGTGTGGAAGTCATGAAATCATCAGGAAAGAGAAGTTGGAGATTGTGAAGGGGTTTAAATGCTGAAAGGAGAAGTTCATATGTTATTCTAGAGGCCATAAAGAGACATGGAAGCTTCTTGAGTGAGTGAGTTACATGATCAGATCTCTCTGTTTTGGAATATCGATTTGGGAGCTGTATGAAGAATGGATTGGAGAGGGACGAGATTGGAAAGAGAGAGACCAATTGTAGAACTGGATGAGACAACACCTACTATTCTTCCTCTCCATGATAAAATCTGCTCTACAACATTTCTGACAGCTTCTGCTTTGAAAACTTCAAGGGGCAGTTATATCATTCTACACAAAGTAATCCATTCTATTTTCAGACAGCTCTATTTGTCTTTTAAAAAAGACAAAAAAATTTGTCTTCTTTTCCACCTCGTACTAAGGGAAAAGCAGCCTCTCTTTGACTTTGAGTTATTGGTCTTAGTTCAGTCTTCTGAAATTAAAAAAAAAAAAATCTTACTCTATCTTTGACCGGACAGCCCTTCAAATATTTGAACAGAACTCTATCTCCCCACCCCAAGTCTTTTTTCCCTACCTAGACCAAACATCTTGCAACCCTTCAAGGATTTCTCAAATGAATGGTTTCAACACCCCTCATTATCCCAGTCACCCCCCTCTAAAGGTATGTCAGTTTGCTTTGAAGACAACTTCAAAGCAGTCTCTTTGAAGAGATTGCTTTATTGGGGATTCTGATTCATAGCATTGGGTGAATTTACTCAATACAATGTATTGATATC